AATTTTCCCCTATGGAGCGCCCAGGTGCTGTCTGCTCTTCGCGGTGCGCAGATAGCGCACTATCTCGAGCCCGACATTGTGGTGCCAGCGAAGCAGATCCCCAAGGCGGCCGACAAGCCGACTGAGCTCATCCCCAACCCTGAGTATGAAACTTGGGTTGCAAAGGACCAGCAGATCGTTAACTATCTGCTCTCTAATATCTCCAAGGAGATCCAGGTGCAAGTCTCCAATTGTGCCACATCTGCCGAGATCTAGAAAGTGATCTCAGAGATGACGGCTTCCTAGTCTCGGGGCCATATCATCAACACGTGCATGGCGTTGGTCACAGCGCAGAAGGGCTCGTCTACAATCGCCGACTACTTCAACAAGATGAAATCTCTTGCTGACGACATGGCGGCAGCCAACAAACGTCTTGAAGATGAAGAGATCATCTCCTATGTACTAGCCAGACTTGACATGGATTTTAATCCGATTGTCTCGGTTGTCACGGCGCGCATGGAGCCGCTATCTTTGGGCGAGCTCTACACCCAGCTAGTGAGCTAGGAACAGCGGATGGATCTCCTGCACGGTGGATCCGGTTCATCTGCTAACACAGCTACACGTGGAGGCCATGGCGGTTTCAACCGCGGCGGTGGTGGCCGAGGACGCGGGCGCGGCCGCAACCATGGCAACAACAACAACAGCGGGCGCCCCCGGCAGAACTACAACGGCGATAAACCCATCTGCCAGCTCTGCGGCAAGGAGGGCCACACCGGACTCCGCTGCTTCAAGCGTTTCGGCGCTTCCTTCACCGGCCCACCAGAGCAATCTCGATCTGCCTCCTCTGCGTCATATGGGATCGACACCAACTGGTACACCGACACTGGTGCTACCGACCACATCACGGGAGAGCTAGAGAAGCTCACCGTGAGGGACAAGTATCATGCAAACGACAAGGTTCATGCTGCTAATGGCGCAGGTATGAGAATCAATCAAATTGGTCGAAGTTTTGTTCATACCGCAAATCAAAATTTTGTCCTAAACAATGTTCTTTATGTTCCTGAAGCTAACAAAAGCCTTGCATTTGTTCATCGTCTTACATCCGATAACCATGCTTTTATTGAATATCATCCCAACTATTTTTTGATTAAGGACCAGGGGACCAAGAAAACCATCCTTAGAGGGGAATGTGAAGGTGGCCTCTACCCGTTAAAGTCTAGGCCATCATCGAATAAAGGGGCGTTTGGTGCTGTCAAGTCTCCTTTGTCCAGGTGGCATAGTCGTCTCGGTCACCCTTCTTTTGCAGTCGTTCAGCAAGTCCTTAGCAAAAATAGTATTCCCTTTGTTGCTGATTTGAATAAAGAAACTATTTGCGATGCTTGCCAAAAGGGCAAAAGTCATCAGCTACCCTATCCTAGATCCACGAGTATCTCATTGAGTCCCTTAGAACTTGTGTTTTCTGATGTATGGGGTCCTGCGCCCACTTCTGTTGGCAAAAACAGTTATGGATTTATTTGCTTCGTCATAAATCTGAAGTTTTTCAAAAATTTCATGAATTCCAAGCTATGGTTGAACGCCAATTTGATAGAAAAATTCTCTTTATGCAAACTGACTAGGGAGGGGAATATCAAAAGCTGAATGCCTTCTTTCAGCGCATTGGCATCTCGCATCATTTCTCATGCCCTTATGCACATCAACAAAATGGCTCCGCTGAACGTAAACATCGCCATATTGTTGAAGTAGGTCTCTCGCTTTTAGCCCGTGCTTCTATGCCCTTAAAATTTTGGGATGAAGCTTTCATCACTGCCACCTATCTTATTAATGGTCTCCCTAGTAAAATTATCAATAACCAAACTCCTCTTGAACGCATGTTTCATCAAACACCAGACTACTCCTCTGTTCGTACTTTTGGCTGCGCATGTTGGCCGAATCTACGACCTTATAATGCTCGCAAGTTGCAATTCCGCTCCAAACGCTGTGTCTTTCTAGGATACAGTAACATACACAAGGGGTTCAAGTGTCTGGATGTCAATGAAGGGCGTGTCTATATTTTCCGAGACGTGGTCTTCGATGAACACGTCTTCCCCTTCGTCGAACTCCACCCAAATGCCGGTGCTCGATTACGATCTAAAATTCTCCTCCTTCCTCCAACTTTGACAAATCCTTCACATGATTTTGGGGACGACAATTCTTTAGATCTTTTTGATAATGATTCCCTGCATACTAACCCTATGTCTAAGCGTGTAGCACATGAAAAAAATTCGGCGTCAAACGAACTAAATCTGGCTGGAAGCGGGTGCCATTTCATGCTCCCCGAGCAATCTCCCGTTTTGGCAGGAACAGGCGGCGATCCCCAGGCTGATTCACATGCACCTTCTACTGCGGAGCCGACATGATCGGTCTTGGATCCGGCGGCATCAGCTCCTGCGCTCATGACGAACGCGTCAGCTCCACCGGCATCCTCTCCGCATGCGCCACCTGTCTCGAACTCGCCTCGCCTGGCTCCGCGGACAGGGGGACAGGATATTTCGACCGGTGGTGGAGAATCTCCCTTGGGTCCGCCGCTTGTCAGGCCGCTCACCGGATCTTCTGTGCCAGCCACAGATCAACCCACCAGATCTTCGCTCGCCGGATCTTCTGTGCCAGCCACAGATCAACCCACCGGATCTTCTACATCACCTGCAGCACCGGCTCTCCAGTGACCCACCACACGTCTACAACAAGGTATACACAAACCAAAAATTTACACTGATGGAACTATTCGATATGGTCAGTTAGCAGCCACCACTGAAGGTCCTATTGATTTGCAACATGCCTTAGTCGATAATAATTGGAAGCATGCTATGGATGTTGAATTTGATGCATTGATCAGGAATAAAACTTGGCATCTAGTTCCACCTCAAAAAGGAAAAAATGTGATAGATTGTAGGTGGGTCTATAAATCAAAAGAAGATCAGATGGGAAAATTGACAGATATAAGGCACGCCTAGTAGCAAAGGGGTTCAAACAACGATATGGCATTGATTATGACGATACTTTTAGTCCTGTTGTGAAAGCAGCCACAATTCGTCTTGTGCTCTCTCTAGCTATGTCTAAGGATTGGTGTTTGAGGCAACTCGATGTTCAGAACGCTTTCTTGCATGGTTTCCTTGAAGAAGAGGTATACATGAAACAGTCGCCAGGTTATGAAGATAAGACCAAACCACATCACTTAAGCAAACTTGACAGATCCCTGTATGGTTTAAAACAAGCACCATGGGCCTGGTATTCTAGGTTGTGTGGTAAACTTCAGAGTCTAGGCTTTGTTCCCTCCAAAGCTGACACATCATTATTCTTTTATCGGAAAGAAAATCATGTCATCTTTATGCTTGTATATGTTGATGATATAATTGTGGCCAGTTCATCACAGGAAGCAGTGGATGCTTTTCTCCAAGATTTAGAGAAGGACTTTGCAATCAAAGATCTCGGGGACCTTCACTATTTTCTTGGCATACAGGTTCAAAGAAAGAAAGGTGAATTGCTTTTGACACAGGAACGGTATGCTTCTGATATCCTCAAGAGAGTTAATATGCAGCTGTGTAAACCCGTCAAAACACCCCTTAATACTACCGAAAAGCTTTTAGTCACTAGTGGCACTCGGTTCGGAGTGGAGGACTCAACCAGATACAGGAGCATTGTTGGAGCTCTCCAGTATCTCACCCTCACACGACCAGATCTGTCTTTTTCGGTCAACAAAGTTTGTCAATTCCTCCACTCGCCGATGACTGTTCATTGGGAAGCTGTGAAGAGAATATTGAGATATGTACAAGGAACAATCGGCGTAGGGTTAAAAATTAGAAAATATAACTCTATGCTTGTAAGTGCTTTTTCAGATGCTGATTGGGCCGATTGCCCTGATGACAGACGATCTACAGGAGGCTTTGCTGTATTTCTAGGTTGCAACCTAGTGTCATGATGCGCAAGAAAATAGCCTACGGTTTCAAGATCAAGTACAGAAGCTGAATACAAGTCTTTGGCCAACGCTACTGCAGAGGTAATGTGGGTACAAAAATTACTTGATGAGTTAGGTATTCCACATCCTTTGGCAGCATGTTTATGGTGTGATAATCTTGGCGCAAAGTACCTATCGGCTAACCCTGTATTTCATGCACGCACCAAGCATATAGAGATCGATTTTCATTTTGTACGCGAACAAGTTGCAGCAAAGCGCTTGGACATCAGATTCATCAGCACTACGGATCAGATCGCTGATGGCTTCACTAAGCCTCTTCCAGAGAAGCAAATGGTTATGTTCAGAGACAATCTCAACCTCGCTGATAAGTTGTGATTGAGGGGGGGTGTTAAGAATATCCAATAGGATCACATGACCGCAATATCTGATTGATTGATATCTCCTGAAGATTGGTTGTGCGCTCAGGCTTGGATTGCGGGTGAAGGCAAGTATCACCACTTCGGTTAGATATGATAGGTATCTCCTGATTGATGTAATATTGTGATGTAATCTAGAGTTACCAAAAGTAGTTAGCTTCTTCTTGTTGTACAAGTTGTACCGCCACGCCAGGGGCTCTTCCTGGCTATATTAACACGAAGCCGTGCGCCTGAGAGGGCATCACGTTCCAACCATTTTTCACAAAGCCCAACAGAGGCGGAAGCCCACTGGCTCCTAACCTTGTATAATATTTTGGCTCAACACTCTGAAATGCTTTTGTACACTGCATCTCACGGAGCCTAGACTCCACATCCTACTAATCGTATAATATTACCACCTAGCAGGCTAGCACTCTGTAATGCTTTTATATTGGCACTGAGACTTGCCATGTAGCAAACAAGGTAACCATCGCTGTGACATGTAATATTCTGTATATATAACTATGCTTCCTGCATTGTACTTGAATCTATCAAGACTATCATGCTTGCCACCATTACAACTAATATTACATGTTATTGTCACCACCATAGATTTGGGCCAGTTTAGAATTTAATGTTTGTTCAGTGTATAGCAGAAAAGGTAAATCAACGGGTCAGTTCAGACCTACAGGAGGCACCTTATTGAATTGAATTTGAGGCCTCTCGAAGAAGGTGTCCGTCGGGTAGTCGAAGCTCTGCCAGAAGACGGCGGACGAGTTGGAGGAGCTCCGCAGGACGAGGTTGCCGTCATTGAGGAGCACGGCGACGGTGTCATTGGTCGTGGGGTTCGCGCGGGTGGACCAGATGACGGAGTTGGTGGTCTGGTCCAGGTTGCCATCGCCGGAGATGGCGAGCTTGGGTATGGTGGGGTCGACCACGGGGCTGTCGCCGTTGGCGCTCCAGAGTGGGCCCAGCTTCGGGACCTTGTTGAACCATATGCCGTGGTACGTGTTGGGGTTGCTGGTGGTGTGGTGGAAGGGTGTGATGTCCGGCTTGAAGAAGCCCAGCGCGAACTTGCTGTTGTTGGAGACGAGCCTGCTGCTGCTGCCGGTGCCGGCGAGCCCGTTGCCGGGTGACACCGTGTCCCTGGAGGCGGAGCAGGACGCCTGCAGGGAGAGGAGTCCAACAAGGACGACGACGCGAAGGAGGGGATGCATGGTTGGTGAAGCGAACCGAAGAATGAACGAGCTAGGGGAAGATCGAGTGGTGGGTGAAGCTAGAAGAATAGCAGGAACAGGAATTGTTTTGGGAACGTCACGACCGCTGCTCAGTTCAGCTCGTGATGAGGACATCACTTCTACACATACAACCACACCACCTACATCTATAGTACCATCCATTCCACCACCTGGAGCTAGGCCAGCAATTCACAAATTTTACATAAGAAGAGATCGAAATGTGTTCCTAATAAGGAATCTTGGTGTTGAAGATAAAGATATTTAAGCTGATATTTTGTGCTATATCTGTGGCTGTCCACAGGCAGTCACCACTCGCAGCCAGCTAGAGTATAGTAGGCTAAACTATTTGTTAGCTGTCCAGATTTATAGAACAGCCTCTATATTAACAGTAGTAACAGACTTAGCTGTTGCCAGTACACTGTAGTAGCATGCACTGTAGCAGCAGCCATTTTGGCTATAAAAGGAGGGTACCTCCATATGTAAAAGTTGGATTTTGTTTTAGTTCAGTTCCTTTGGAAACTACTACTTGTGTTGTCTCTTATGTCAGTTAGACCAACAGACCAATCTCTACTCAAAGCCCCATCTTAATATTTCACTACATACTTGCAATTTCAGATTGCTTGCACCTTATTCTTGCTGGTTTTCTTCCATTTCTTGTAGGAACAGACCCTAGTGGTCAGGTCAGCTTGGTTTTGGCTAAGCTGATAACATCTCAAGGGTTGGTTCAACGGTTGCTAGGCTATTGGAACCTCTTATTCAGGAACCTAGATCGTGTGAGTCACCCTCACAATTGGAGGCATCTCATCTCTCCGAAAGGTTGGGCCACTAAAATTCCACATCAACTGGTATTTGGAGCAAAGGTTAATCGGTGAGACTGAGTTTTTAGTAGTTGCAGTGTTCTTTTACCTATAATCCAAAAAAAAAAACAGAGTTTGCCACACCCTATCCAAACCAGTTTGAGCCTAGTTTGCAATCTCTTTTCAGTTTATGCTTTGTTGAATCTCTGGGTTGCATTGTCATATGTTAAGTTGCTGGTCATAGTTCTTGCTTAAAGCTTCTAGTTGAGATCTATCTTGAAAAAGAAAAAGAGAAAGTAAATTTGTCTTTGGTAACCTTAGTGTGAAAGCTAAAAAGGAATAGCAGCTGAGAGATAGCTGTCCAGCTGCAAGTGCTAGGCTGCAGTAAATACAGCACTAGAGTTTTTAGAAAAAAAAAAGGAAAGAGAGAAAGAGAGGAGTCATATTCTGTCTGGATTGTTCTAGTGCTAGACCATTTGAATAACAGTAAGTGTGCACTTGTTTTGCTGTTCTACTTTTGGTTTCCTTGCCAAAACTAAGTTAGTTATAGCCTGTGATTGAGTTGCACTTCTGGAAAAAAGCAGAAGTGGTAGCCTTGTTGCAGGCTTGCAGCTCTTTTCTATCCCTTGTTTTCTAAGCTTGTTAACCAGCTTTTAGTCTTCTATAGGGCCAGCAATGTTGACTAGGACTTTGAGCATATTTTCAATTTAGCACCTACTGATTTGATTTTGTCTAATCCTTGCTACATAAATAAACCTGCCCTAGCTACACTCTCTACTGGTCATTCAGGTAACATAAGCTTGCATTGGCTGAACTCAACCCTAAAGATCGTTGGAGGCTGACCCAGCTGCCAGTTGCACCACCTGCTGATTTTGGTAAGAACCTGTAAGTACTTGGTAAGAGTTTGAGTGCCTTTGAATTTCCACTTTCCATATCCTAGTAGTTGGTAGGCACATATAATCTTGTTGTATTGTTTTTTGTTTGCGGCTAACAATGGCAGGTGAACAAGGTGAGAAAGACAAACCCCTCACACCAAAGACACAAGAAACCAGGGATTACTTGGCACACTTGCTAAATGAAAATACTGAAAACATCACAAAAGTGGTGAACGAGACCAGAGAGGCTTTGAACAGCACCAACACAATCATCATAGCCCTCGACTCTCGCATAGTGCAACTTGAACAAGCACAATTATCTTCTGCCACAACATCTCGTGCTACAGCTGCTACTGATGACTACGCTGAGATATTGAACTAGATGATGTGGTTAATACAAATAGCGACCATGCATATCGACGCCACCACCGCCACCGAGAGGTACGAGACCGTGATGATCCTCTACTGAAAATAAAATTTTCAATACCTCCCTTTGCTGATAAATATGATCCTGATGCATATCTCACTTGGGAAATGGCCATAGAACAGAAAATTTAGTGTAATGATATCCCAGATAACAAAAGAATTAGAGCTGCCACTAGTGAGTTTACTGATTTTGGATCTATTTGGTGGCAAGAATACTGCCGTACAAATAGGGATGTTGCCACTACCTGGGAGGGTATGGAGAGAGTTATGAGAGCCCGTTTTGTACCTTCATATTATTCTCATGATTTATTAAATAAATTACAATGCTTGAAACAAGGTAAAAACACTGTAGAAGAATATTATCAAGAATTGCAAATTGGTATGCTACTTTGTGGGTAAGAAGAAACACCGGAAGCTAAGATGGCTAGATTTTTTGGGGGGCTTAACAGAGAAATTCAGACCATACTTGATTATAAAGAATATAATTCTATCACTCGTTTATTTCACCTTGCTTGTAAAGCTGAAAGAGAAGTGCGGGACTGGCAAAGGACAAGTGGCCCTTCTGAGGTTATTTCTACAGGTTGGCCAAATCAAAGGCAAGCAAAAACGTCCGCAACTTCCTCTAGCCGCACACCTGCACCAAGCTTCTCCAACAACTATGTGCAGACTACTTCCTCTACTACACCTACACGTGCACCTGAGGCAAGCAAGAGCCCAGCCCCTGCCCCTGCCCCAAGTTCCTCTTCAGTTAATTCAACAAGAAGATCGCGAGATACACAATGCCATCGCTGTAAGGGCTATGGACACATGATGCGGGACTGTCCTAGCAAGTGAGCTCTTCTAATCAAAGACAATGGTGAGTACACGTCAGCTAGTGATATTGAGGAAGAATATAGTATGCCTGCAACTGACCCTGTAGGTAATCATCATGATAATGAGGAAGAGAAAGTGGAAGAGCAGTATGGTGCTGAATCAACAGATAATTATTTGAGTCTCATTGTACAGCTTGTGCTTAGCGTGCAAATGGAACAAGCTGAACAAAGTCAACGCCGCAATCTATTCCAAACTAAATTTGTCATCAACAACCGATCATGCCTAGTGATCACTGATGGTGGAAGCTGTAACAACTTGGCAAGCATGGACATGGTTGAGAAGCTTGGCTTAACCACAAAACAACATCCTAGGCCCTACTACATTCAATGGCTCAACACTTGTGGTAAGCTGAAGGTAACTCGTATTGTGAGGATACAATTTTCACTTGGTTCACATCATGATTATGCTAATTGTGATATGGTTCCAATGCAAGCATGCTCTTTGTTATTAGGAAGACCATGGCAACATGATAGAGATACCTTGCATCATGGTAGAACCAGTCAGTACACGCTCATGTTTAAAGGGAAGAAAATTACTTTATTGCCTATGTCTCCTGAGGCTATTCTAAAAGATGAAATAGAAAGAGCTAATAGAGAGAACAAGGAAACTAGCAAAAATGAAAATTAAGTTATATCTAAGGAACTTGCTTCAAATAAAAATAAAGAACCTAATCCTAAGAAAGATGGAATTATGTTGAAAAGTCCTGTTTTACTAGCTACAAAATCTAAAATTATTGAGATGACAGCAAGTAATTTTGTTTGCTATGCTATAATGTTCAAAGAAGAATTATTTTCATATGAGGATATGCCTCTTCCTATGCCTCCTGCTGTTGCTGACCTATTGCAGGAGTATGAAGATGTGTTTCTAAAGGAAATACCACCTGGGCTGCCACCAATCCAAGGAAGTGAACATCAAATTGATCTAATACCAGGTGCTTCCCTACCCAATCATGCACCATATAGGACCAATCCTGAGGAGACTAAGGAGATTGCATGTCAAGTGCAGGACTTGCTTGACAAAGGGTATATACGTGAAAGCCTTAGTCCTTGTGCTGTTCCGGTTATTTTGGTTCCAAAAAAAGATGGATCATGACGTATGTGTGTTGATTGTAGGGCTATTAATAATATCACCAATAGATATTGTCACCCTATTCCTAGGTTAGATGATATGATTGATGAATTAAGTGGTTCTAAGATGTTCTCCAAAGTTGACTTGTGTAGTGGTTATCACCAAATCAGAATAAAACTAGGAGATGAATGGAAAACAACTTTTAAAACTAAATTTGGAGGTTAGTCATGCCTTTTGGTTAGGCATTGGAGGTGTATTAATTCAAGATGGTAAGCCTATTGCCTATTTCAGGGAGACATTAAGTGGACCTAATCTGAATTATTCTACTTATGATAAAGAATTATATGACTTAGTTCGCACCCTAGAGACCTAGCAACATTATTTGTGGCCGAAGGAATATGTGATGAGTCTCTTAAACATATTAGAAGCCAAAACAAACTAAATCATAGACATGCAAAATGGGTGGAATTTATTGAATCTTTTCCTTATATCATAAAACACAAAAAAGGAAAGGAAAATTTAGGGATTTTTGGGACTTTTCTCGTGTTTTGCCCAATCCTCCTTCTCAATGCTTACTCAGTGATCAGGATTTGGCTTAAACCAAGACTAATTGCAGTTAACAGTTAAACCCATAAACCCTAATTACTTAGCTTAAGCATGAAATTAAACTCAGATTGCATCTAATTAAGGTCTAATTACTCACTGATAACTTAAACAAATATTATTCTGCACTTAGGGTAGAATAAACATACGTCATCATGCATATAACATATAAGATCGATCTTAATTAAAACTTAATTGCATCTAAACTGACTTAGGCGAAACTAATATAATATAACAGAGGCATAAAAAACGGAATTGACTCTGGCCTAGGATCATGTCAGGACTAAGCAGGCTCTTGATACCGATTGTTGAAAAAGAACTTAGTCATAACAGGATC